CTACTACTACTACTACTACTACTACTACTACTACTACTACTACTACTACTACTACTACTACTACTACTACTCTGCTACTACTACTACTCTGCTACTACTAATACTAGTGTGCAGTTTACAACTAGTGTCACAAAAGACACAATGCTCCGTAGTCGCCTGGCTACTCAGTACCTTGCTGATCTCTGCCATTGGCTATATTTAGAGGCGCACAGCTGGTCCTCGGAAGTGGAGATGCTGGAGACACTGGAGATGCTGGAGAAATCGACCACCGCACGGAAACGGCCTGGAGAAGCCAACGAGAGGACGGACCCGGAAGACCTCGTTGGAGTGCGCTGTAACGGTCGTGAGATCTGTGGAGTTTCGCGAACCGATTAGATCCCTTCGACCGTGTCCGTGAGAACGTGTACGGCTCCATCAGATTGCTCGACGTCGCATTCCTGACCAAGCTCTTCTTCTTGACCGCGTTAGCTCATGTCATTAGTAATTCGTCAGCAAAACCAGTCTAGATGTTTGCCGCAATATATCTTGGGCCGTCCAGAGTTGTTACAGACGATACGTATACATGCACGGCAGCGTGGGAGGAACCCCTTAGCGCTGTTAGAGAATATAGAGACGAGCAAGTACTACGGAGCATGCACATCCCAGAGCCTCAGTTTGCGAGCGGCAACCGCGTGGCAATGATTCGCAGGAGATATTTTGCACTGACGGATTAAGCAAAGGCTTCCCGTGTGATATCATTTACGACGAGCGGGTTGTTGTACCCCATTTGATTGAAACAAACAAGAGTAAAAAAAAAAAAAAAAAAAGAGCCTGGTTTGAGATAGCCAGGAATTTCGACCACAAGTTACCAACACTTCGGTCGAGCATGTCACATCAGTGACTTCTGCGACTGCTCGCCAAATTTTCAACTTTTGAGGCATCGCAGGTTTCAAAGGCAAAGCTTGTTTACATCTGACGTAAGGTCCGTAGACTGGGATGGATGATCTACGAAATCCCAGTCGATATCATCACGCATATAATAACCTCTCTCCTGACAATCTCGGTCATGGCTTGAGACACACCACGGAATCCCGACCGAAAATAGTGTTAATATCGGCCAGGTATCCATTGCTATAGGACCGGGTATGCGGATTAACACAGCAATTTACCGGTTTGAATCCTTGATAGGGAATCGAAAGCAAGGGTCCCCCTACCGGCCAATATACCAGCGATTCAGACCCCTGATGGCACATACTTTAGTTCGTGGTCAGACCAACGAACTTGGGGTTCGTGTCAAGGAATACAGCTGCCAACCACCTTCGAATCGGAAGAAAAAGAGAAGGAAAGGAGAAGCAACAGAGTGAGAAACATGAGGAAGACGCTCGAATAAAGACACGTAAGCTCATCCACCGAGAATACCTTGGTTGAATGTTGAATAGTTATGAGATTTCAATTCCCAACACATACGCGCAAACCACTCAATATCTGACAAAATTTGCAACTCCGCCGTTGCGTTGGCCCGGCCGTTGGCTCTCCCGCTATTAGCTGCAAGTCAAGGCCCGACCCTGTTTTTATGGAGCAGCCATCTACATACATCCTTTAAGTATATCGATCGCTAGTTTGTGATTATCGGCCGATTCTGCCTCCATTGACAACAAACCTTCAGGGTACCAGAAGATGACCGTTTAAGTACGCATATTATCGAGATCACCCGCAAATCTCTTGGTATATACGCATACGTGACGTGAGTTCCGTATATCCCATGAGGCCTTGTCTTGTCGCCTGCTGGGCAGAAATCCGGGGAATATGGCCATGTTACAAACATTCGGAGTCATCCATCTTTTCCGAACCTGTAACACCAGAGGCCAGCGTCGGACTCAAGGGGTTAAAAGCATTGACCTCCCAAGCCTCTCTCGACCGAGTTCAAGTGGGAAACGGCTAACTATTCTGAAAAAATAGGCCCATGTTTTGGTTTTCTGACGTTTGAGCTTCCCAAGGTGGCTGGCCGCTTTTAGGAAAAATAATAATGATGTTGGGTACTCTGTGGGAAGGGTGGGTTTGGGAGCGAAATCGATCCACTTTTTGGCTTTTCGAGATTGACTCCGAGAAAGAACTTGCATCCTGCACAGTTTATACGGAGACCCCGTGTAACTAACTGCTCTGATGTATGTTTTGCACCGAAGTCCCTCCCCTGTACACATCCACACCCACAGGAAGACTCGGGCAGCGGTGGATTTTATTTTTAGAACTTCGGGTAGGATGGCCCTGTTCAGAGGTTTATGCAGCCTGTGATGCATAAATGTATGATTCTGGAGGCTTCATACGCACACATGGGGTCATAAACAACGGACATATACGCCTGGCTGATTCTATATTCAGCATCCGGATATGCAAGAGAAACGGGGGATGGCCAACACCAGCGGAGGATATTTGATGCGAGAGCCTAGAATACATTGGTCATGGTTACGTACCAGAATCAATCCCTGGAACAATCGCCTTCCTCTTTGGCAAACGGACTACATCTCAAACAAACCATGTATCAATATCGCAGCGTGAGGGCAGGAATGTAACTAGTCGCATTTCATCCTAGCAGGATGAGCTGTCAGTCGGCTCTGCCGCCAAAACGATTTCAGACAAACCCTGCGCCGCTCCGCTGATCAGCCGGAGTTGAAAGCCTTCCTCGCTGCCCAGCAGCCTCTCTTTTGTCTGATCCGCTGCCGGCCGCCACAAATCCTTCGTTTGTCGAAAGGAGAACCATTGGACACAACGCCTCAGCAATATCTGCACTGTCCCTTTTTATCTTTGAGCAAGCACCTTGCTAGTTATAACTAGTTACTGCGTGAGACTCTTGCCCGCGGGACGGGCGGCTCCGTACAGCTCGTTAGCTCGCTTCTGCCCTCACCAAGGCCTGGCTGCTTGAATTTCTGTCCCGCAACTCAGCGACAGCATGATATTGACTTGACCACTGTCAAAATTAGTTACTCTTCTGTCAGCCAAAGGGGAGCCAATGAGGAATCTCTCCTCTGCTCATGATAGTCGACTCTCGATATTTCAAATTCCACTGCGCCAAGTCGTTAACTAGTCGACGGCAACGAGAACTAACCAACTAATTAACTAGTTAGCTGGTTAGCTGCTGGATGGCGACAGGCGACAGCATGTCAGGAGTAACGAAAGACGGGCCTTACAATGATAAGTTTTTTAAAA